GATTCTCGGAGGAGCCGGGCCCGGGAGCCGACGGGGCCGTCCTGGAGGTCCACGTCCCGCAGGTGCGTGCAGCAGCACCCGCCGGGAGGCGCCTGAGGGCAGGAGCGGTTCTCGGCTGACTTGGCTGGGGTCCTGAGGGACGGCGGGATGCGGACGCTCAGCTGCGCAGCTTCCTGCTTTAGGTTGGCCCCCGGAGCGAAAACGTCGGATATGAGTCCCTTCGGTGCATTAAATGTCTCTCAGTAAGAATTTTGGAGACCCTGCCAAGAAGTGACCCTGGTCACTATGTTGGTCAGGCTGGTCTCGAACTGTAAGCTTAAGTGATCCTCCCGCCTCGACCTCCCACAGTGCTAGGATTACAGGCGTTAGCTTCCGCGCCGGGCCGGCTTTCTCCACATCGAATCTGTCTTTCCAGGAAAGTGACATTTTTGACTGACCTCTAATGCTGCTTTTGATCTTGTTCAAGGGTTTCTTGATTCATCCTTCTCTCTCACTTTTGTGTGAGTTTTGGGACCAGGGTTTCCAGTTTTATTTGGTGCCCTAATAGTTTTTTCGGTTGGACCTCGCTTCTTTCTCTAAGCTCACAGCTGCCACAGAACTCTCAATGATAATTCTTTTTCTTTTCTTTTTTTTGAGACACCGTCTCGCTCTGGCGCCCAGGCTGGAGCGCAGTGGCGCGATCACAGCTCACTGCAACCTCCAACTCCCGGGTTCAAGTGATCCTCCCGCCTGCCTAAGTGCTGGGATTACAGGAGTGAGCCACCATGCCCTGCCTGTCTTCGGTTTTTCAAAGCACTTTCACGATGCTGTATTTCATTTGGTTTTAACAGCAGCCTGTGAGGCATGTCCCATGCTAAAGAAACAGCTTTAGAAAAGTTAAATGGCAGGCAGAGGCGGGAGGATCGCTTGGGACCAGGAGTTTGAGACCAGCCTGGGCAATATAGTGATACTACGTCTCTACAAAAAATAGAAAAATTAGTCAGGCATGGTGGCGTGTGCCTGTAGTTCCAGCTATTCCGGAGGCTGAGGTGGGAGGATTGCTTGAGCCAGAGAGGTCAAGGCTGCTGTGAGCTATGATCAGGCCACTGCACTCAGGCATGAACAACAGAGCAAGACCTTGTCAAAAAGAGGAAAAAAACCAAAAGATTGGAGTGGAGGCTATTTCTGATTGTCTCCAAGCAGCTTCACGTTTTATTGTTTTTGACCCAGACGCTGGCTCTCTTGCCCTGGAGTGCAGTGGTGGGCTCACTGCAACCTCAACCTCGGGCTCAAGTGATCCTCCCACCTCAGCCTTTCAAGTAACAGACTACAGGCCTCGGCCACCACACCTAATCTGGCTTCAGGGATTTTTTTTTTCTTTTTTTTTTTGGAGACGGAGTCTTGCTCTGTTGCCCAGACTGCAGTGCAATGGCACGATCTCGGCTCACTGCAACCTCCGCCTCCCGGGTTCAAGTGATTCTCCTGCCTCAGCCTCTCGAGTAGCTGGGATTACAGGCGCCCGCCACCATGCCTGGCTAATTTTTGTATTTTTAGTAGAGACGGGGTTTTGCCATGTTGGCCAAGCTGGTCTTGAACTCCTGACCTCCGGTGATCCACCCCCCTCGGCCTTCCAAAGTGCTGGGATTACAGGCGTGAGCCACCGCGCCCAGCTGGCTTCACGTTTAAATACACTTGCATTTCCTCCTAAATGTAGGGGGTGATGGTACTGCCTGTGAGAATAGAAGCCTCTTTTCTTTTTTTTTTTTTTCTTTTTTGGAGTTGGAGTCTTGCTCTGTCACCCAAACTGGAGTGCAGTGGCATGATCTCGGCTCACCGCAAACTCCGCCTCCCGGGTTCACGCCATTCTCCTGCCTCAGCTTCCGGAGTAGCTGGGACCACAGGCGCCCACCACCATGCCTGGCTAATTTTTTTTGTATTTTTTAGTAGAGACGGGGTTTCACCGTGTTAGCCAGGATGGTCTCGATCTCCTGACCTCATGATCCGCCCGCCTCGGCTTCCCAAAGTGCTGGGATTACAGGCGTGACCCACCGCGCCCGGCCTGTGGTTTTTTTTTTTTTTTTTTTTTTTTTTGAAACGTAGTGTCACTGTTTCCCAGGCTGGAGTGCAGTGGCGCAATCTCGGCTCATTGCAACCTCCGCCTCCGGTGTTCAAGCGATTTTCCCGCCTCAGCCTCCCAAGTCGCTGGGATTACAGGCACGTGCCACCACGCCCGGCGAATTTTTTTGTATTTTTAGTAGAGACGGGGGTCTGTGTTAATTTGGCTGGTCTCAAACTCCTGACCTCAGGTGATCCGCCTGCCTCAGCCTCCCAAAGTGCTGGGATCACAGGCGTGAGCCACCGCACCCGGCCCCTGACTAGAACTATCTTATTTGCTTGCTCGTTGCCTGTCTCTCTACAGTAGGGTATGTGCTCAGGGAGAGCTACATCCCCAGTCTAAGAATGGTCCCTGATACTCTTGACACTAGAAGCACTTGTTGAATGAAGAATGCTATCAAGAGTTTCTATCACATTGCATTGCAGTTTTTATATTCCCAAAGGTCATGGATTGGTGAACAGGGTTGCCATTTTTGTAATGGATGCCAATGCCTGACAGAAATTGCTGTATAAATGATTCCAACTTCCAGCAGCTAAATTATTTATGGCACACAAAAACATTCTTTTCAGGTCCTGCATCTCCAGTATGGAATGTATGTTTGGCCCTGTGCTGTGGTCCTGGCCCAGTACCTTTGGTTTCACAGAAGATCTCTGCCAGGCAAGGCCATCTTAGAGGTACAGATGCCCCTGAAGTTTCCAGAGTTCTGGGTTATGTTCAGATGTGTTAAGTTTACATGTGTATATTGCTTGTTATTAGCTTTTGTTAAGTATTTTTAAATCGGGTAATTTAACTAGTTTGTAAGGTCTGTGAGCTAAGAATGTTTTGTTTTTGTCTTAAGGTACAGAGATAATCCTGGAACTTTTTTCATTTAAAAAGTGGTTTTTTTGGCTGGGCACGGTGGCTCACGCCTGTAATCCTAGCATTTTGGGAGGCCGAGGCGGGGGCATCATTTGAGGTCAGGAGTTTGAGACCAGCCTGGCCAACATGGTGAAACCCTTTCTCTACTAAAAATACAAAAATTAGCCAGGCACAGTGGTGCATGCCTGTAATCCCAGCTACTTGGGAGGCTGAAACAGGAGAATTGCTTGAACCCTGGAGGCAGAGGTTGCAGTGAGCAAAGATCGCACCATTGCCCTTCAGCCTGGGCAACAGAGCAAGACTCCGTCTCAAAAAAAAAAAAAAAAAGAAGTGGTTTTTTAAAAAAGACACTGGGTGTGATGGCTCACACCTGTAATCCTGGTACTTTGGAAGGTTGAGGTGGGAAGATCTCTTGAGCCCAGGATTTTGATACCAGCCTGGTCAACATAGTGAAACCCTGTCTCTAAGAAAAAAGAAAGAAGTGTTAGAGACTATAGGTGGACCACAAAGCCTAAAATATTTACTCTCTAGCCCTTTAGTTTGCTGACCGCTATTCTAGATGAAGCCCCTGAATCCCTTCCACGGCTGTGGCAGTCTTTAAGGCCATTGTTTTAGGCGTCCCAGCAGTGTCATGCAGGCTTTTTACATTCAGGTTGCTGTAACAAAATACCATAAACTGGGTAGCTTATAAATAACAGAAATTTATGTCTCTGGCCGGGCACTGTGGCTCACGCCTGTAATCCCAGCAATTTGGGAGGCCAATGTGGGCAGATCAGCTGAGGTCAGGAGTTCAAGACCAGCCTGGCCGACATGGTGAAACCCCATCTTTACTATAAATAGAAAAAATTAGCCAGGCCTGGTGGCACATGCCTGTAGTCCCAGCTACTCAGGAAGCTGAGGTAGGAGAATCGCTTGAACCCGGGAGGTGGAAGTTGGAGTGAGCTGAGATCATGCCGCTGCACTCCATCCTGGGCGACAGAGCAAGACTGCACCTCAAAAATCTAAAAATAAAGACATTTGTGTCTCAGTTCTGGAGGCAGTGAAGTCCCAGGATCAAAGTCCTTACAGGTTCAGTGTCTGGTGAGGGCCAGAATTCTAGTTCAGTACCTCTGTGTTCTTAAGTGCCTTAAGAAGCAAGGCAACTCTCCAGGGCCTTTTATAGGGACACTAATCATGAGAACTCTGCCTTTATGTAATTGCCCCCCAAGGCTCACATCAGATGGGTAATTAGGATTTGAACATATTAATTTTGGGTGAACACAAACGTTCAGACCGTAGTATAGCCCTTTCTGTTTTTGGAAATGTTGAGATTAGTGTAAAAAATGTATCCCATTCTCTTTCTAACCTATCTGGCCTCAGACTGGTGAAGGCTTGGAAAAACCAATTTTACCACATTTGCAGAAATAGACTTTCACACCATACTTAAGACTAAAGGCTAAATAGACAAACCAGAAGCTTAACATCCCACTCTTAACTTTCACTACACCAAGTAAATGAAATTAGGGGTAGGATTTGGCACACACCTCTGGCCCTAGTTGTAATTGCTAGGCACTCAGAATTAATCTCTATGTCCTTCCTTGAACTGGAAAATGGGAAGCTTCTGTTTATGCTAATACTTATGAAGGCATTCTCTGGTATTATTTCTTAGTGTCTACAAAGCGTCTTGCCACTTTCAAGGCCCAACTGGAAAATCTTTACTAGAAAGCCATGTTACAGATCTGTTAGGTTTTAGCTACAGAAGAAAGAAATCTGTTAGGTTTTAGCTGTTCATGCTAACAGAAGTGAAAACTAGGCCAAGTGCTGTGGCTTATGCCTGTAATCCCAGCACTTTGGGAGACTGAGGCTGGCAGATCACTTGAGGTCAGGCGTTCAAGACCAGCCTGGCCAACATGGTGAAACCCTGTCTCTACTAAAAAATACAAAATACTAGCTGGGTGGCTGGCCATGGTGGCTCACGCCTGTAATCCCAGCTCTTTGGGAGGCCAAGACAGGTGGATCACCTGAGGTTTGGAGTTCGAGACCAGCCTGACCAACATGGAGAAACCCCGTCTCTACTAAAGAAATGTAAAATTAGCTGGGCTTGGTGCACGCCTGTAATCCCAGCTACTTGGGAGGCTGAGGCAGGAGAATTGCTCAAACACAGGAGGCGGAGATTGCAGTGAGCCAAGATTGAACTCCAGCCTGGGCAACAAGAATGAAACACTTGTCTCAAAAAAAAAAAAAAAAAAA